ACTATGAACTCTCTTGCCATTTTGTGGGAAATAATAGCAAAGCAATCAATAATTGTGACATCAGATTCCAATCAACTTATTTGTTATGATTTATTTCTAGCATTTTACATCCACGCATTAATGTATCACTCATTCATTACCACAAAATGCCATATCATATCTTTTATACTTTATTACTCACCTGCTATACTTTATTACTCACAAAGAACTACAAAAGGTGGGTTTCTAATAGGAGAGGCCACAGTAATATCTGAGACTGCTAGAGGGTGCAATGATACACCTGGTATATGGATAAAGGAGCAAGTAGAGGCTTGGAAAACAATTGTAAATGAAGTTCATGCCAAAGGAGGAATTTTCTTTCCCAAATTTGGCATGCTGGTAGAGTTTCTAGCAAAGGTAATTATTGACTTTTCTACAATGATTTTAGACATTTTACCATAGTCATATTTGGTGCTTTTGAGTGAATATATGTATCACTAGATGTAACTTTTGTGCAATTAAATTAATTAGAGTTGGTTTTTTAGATGATCACTCAATTGATTTGCTTTATTATGAGAAGGAACCATTGAGTTGGTTTTGCTGCACCATCATTGATACATATAGTTTCAAATGAAGGTGATCTATTTGTTATTAAAATATTACGGGAAAAAACTACCAAGCTCTCAATCTGACATTGATCAATATGAAGCATACTACCAAGCTGCTGGGGGAGAAAGAAGAGAAGAAGTATACGGTCTTGGATCTGAAGCAAAAAACTTACTACGGGGAAGAATCTCTGTAAATCAAATGATTCTCTTAAGAATAGTTGATAGATTGCTTTTGATGTTTTGCACCGAATGTATGCAATTTGAATTTTGCTATCTACAGATTTTGAACCCTCTAAAGATTATTTTATATGACTGTTTGTTATTTTAGAGGTATTTAGTTTTTGTTATTTAATTTATTTCAGCAATATATATTTAAAATAAATAAATGAAATGATTTTACAAGAAAAATTTTAGCAACAAATTTAATGATGATTAGGTCGTTGCTATAAAAAAATGTTGGCGATGGATTAGCAACAAAACATTTAAGTGGAAAATGTGCTGGCTCAAATAACTGAATATTTTGTGACAGATTAGTGACAGAAATTTCGTTGCGAATTTATTTTAAATGATGAAATTAATTATGAAATTAGCAACGAGCTATATAAGTATAACAACGGACCAGTCCGTCACTAACAAATGGCGACGGAAATCGTTCGTCTTTAATACATCGCTAAACTTGCGACGGAACTCATTTTTTCGTCGCTAAGTGATTACTAACGAGCGAAATAGTAACAGCCAACAATCCGTCGCAAATTCGTCGCTAATACGGTTTAGCGACGGAATAACATAGATTAGCGACGAATTTCGTCAGTCGCTAAATGCTGATTTTTTTGTAGTGCTACGTTTCTCATATCTTGCCTTTAAGGCCATAAACCTCACATACCAATACACCAACAATGCACCATAAAATAAGCATGGGTAATGACATACTTCAACAATCTAAAGACATTTAAACAAGTTCCATTCAAATGCATTCATTATCAAGCAACCCACTTCATAAAGGCATAAAATAGCCTTTTAAAACCATTTGGTGAAAGAATCCATGAGATTGAGTAAAACCCTAGATTTTCATGAACTTGAAATCTTTAAAAGTTTACTTTGAAATTGGCTCTAAGGGTGAAAAGCTAACCCTAGATGAAGGATTTTGCTAAGATTTCCCAAGAAATTTGATGAAGAAAGCATTGAATCCAAAACCCTAGCTCCCACTTCTTCTTCTTCCTTGAGTTAGAGAGAAATATAGAGAGAGAGAACTTTGGGATTTAATTTGGGAAAAATGAGAGAATGACTAGTTTAAAAGACTTAAAACCATATATGTTTATCATATAAACCATTTAAAATCAACCCCACATAATAAAACATTAAAACGAAATTACCAAAAACCCCAACTTGAGGCAGCCTGTCAGGGACCACGCCCAACTAAACGGGTCGTGAGGGGCCCCACGGCTCGTGGTGGTACCCGTGGTACTTGAGGAAGTGTGCCTCCCATCCGTGCCAAGGCCTCCAAGGCCAAGGAAAGTTCACGGAAGCTCCCACAATCCGTGGTTAACACCACGAGTCATGGTGAATCTCGTGGTCATGGTGCAGCACCTAGGCAAAGTTGCCTTACCTCCCTTGATCCTAAGTGAACTCGAAGTTCACTTTCACAGACCGTCTAGGGAACCATGGCTCGTGGTGGTGCCCGTGAACTTTGGGGCAGTAGCTCCCTCAACTTGCAACATCTCCCACCAAGCTAAGGCAACCCCACGAGCCCTCCCAAGGCCCGTGGTCATGACCGCGAGTCGTGAAGTGGCTCGTGAAGTGGTGCCTTGGCTTGGCACCAAACTTGAGCATGTTGCCTTGCCACCATGGGTGGCACCACGGCTCGTGGTGGCCACCACGGGTCGTGAAGACCCTCGTGGTCTAGGGAGGCAGTAGCTAGGACTAGTTTTAGGTAGCGTAGGTTCCCAAACCATGGCTTACACCCAAAAACCCTTAGCCCTTGACCTTAACTCATGACATTAACCCCATGTTTAGGCTCTAGTTTAACCTATCATTTTTCGAGTCGTTACAATCATCAACTAAAGTGCTTGTTTCATTAAGCATACAAGTCAATTTATTAGGATTATGAACAAGCAATTTCAAAATGGAATTAAAATTGGAACCATCATGAGCAATAACAAAAGGGAAAACATTCTCATGGAAAGAAACATCTCTGCATACATGAATCCTTTTTGTGGCTAAATCTTGGACTTTGTAACCCTTTACATTAAAAGGATATTGTTACGATTCAAAGGAGCCCATTGGCGTAACATGGCGTATAGGACCCCGAGAGGCCTCATACAAGCCACTTAGCAATCATCATACAAGAAAATGGAATATAAGAGATAAAGAGACAGTTTCAACATATAAAAGTTTTAGGCCTAACCCATTGGTGGCCCCCTAAAGTTCACATCATGTTTCACTTACACCTTAACTGGACGATGTTTATTTTAGGCACATTATGTAGGATCCCGTTGTGTCATTGTGACACTTTTTGCTTACATGGCATAATGAGTGTGTTATACTCATTGACCAGCGCGTGAAATGATTCTTTAATTAATTTGTAATTATTTTTTTCTTCTTCTTCCCCATTTTTCAGCCACCATTTTACCCATATTAAATTCCATCCATTGTGAATGAAGGCTTCCACAAAAGGATGGAGCTCAAAGCTAAAAATTTCTTTGAACTAGCAAAAATATTGTTATCTCCTGTATTAAGGTTAGCAAAATAGAAACATAAAAAGATGAAACAGACATAATATAAATAATTCGAGTCCACAGAACCCACTGTGTTTAATTAAGAAATTTAATCCCCTCAAGTACCCGAGATTGCATATTAATTCCTCCCAAGATAAAATGGATTAACCTATTAGAGAAGTAGCGGTGCCTCAAACTTCAATAATTTTAGCGAACGCAAGAACAACAACGAGAGCACACACAGACTCAGTCGATCGACAATTTTGTCTTCGTAAGAAAATGTATGCAGAGAGGAAAAAATTTCAGTATTGAAAAATGGAAAAAGACTCTCTATTTATAGCCACTTGCAGCAAGGAACGCGTCTGTTTGGACAATGATGTGTCTTTCCAAAACGTTGTGTCTTTTGGGAAAAATAACGTCTTTTTAGAAGGAACAAGTCCCTTCATAACGACGCTACCATTACATGCAAATTTCAAATAAATTTCGTTACGTGAAATTAATTTTTTTAATTAACTAGCATTCTGAATTAATTTATAAGAGAAAGGAAATCAGTTAATGAGTTTGATTAAATAAATTTTGTCCAAAAATATTATCAATCAATCACATCATTTGCCAAATCCAAATCAAAAGCCGAAGTCGAGCGAGCGAGCGACGATGACAACGGCGCGAGGGGGCACCTTCTTGTTAACCCTTTAAGAACTAAAGGAAGTATTTTCTAATATAAGGACTACAATTTTCCTTTCTTCTACCAATATTTTGGGTATTGCTGTACAACAGACATCCCTAAGTAGTTACCTATTAAATTGGGGTGACAGTCAAGGTAAAAACGAAGATCACAAGACCATTATTCAGACTCTCCCAATAGTTATATGCTGGAACTTATGGAAAAACAGATGTTCAGCCAAGTATGGGGGCAAGGTATCTAGCATCAGCAGAGTTAAATACTTGGTAATTAAAGACATGTTTCAGCTTCTCAGATCTGTATTTCCTTATATTCAGTGGCCAATAAAGTGGTCAGAAGTTGTTGACATGTTAGAACAGGGTAAGCATGAGGTTAGAGTCATCTCAGTGCTTTGGAAAACTCCTCCTATTTCTAGATATAAACTTAATACTGATGGTAGTGCTTTGCGCAATCCGGGGAAGATTGGAGGGGGAGGTATTCTGAGGGATTCTAATGGGGATATTATATATGCATTTGCTATACCTTTGGGTGAAGGGACCAACAACCAGGCAGAAGTACAAGCTGCCAGTTATGGGCTCAACTGGTGCATCCAACATGGGTATAAAAACATTATTTTAGAAGTGGATTCTGAATTGCTAACTAGATGGTTTTTGCAGATTTCTGATCCTCCTTGGAGGATTTACAGGTTTGTGCAGGAGCTTCAAGGTTTAGCATATCAATGTGACTTTTTCCAATGTGTTCATACATACAGAGAGGCCAATAGTACAACAGATTTGTTGTCTAAACAAAGTCATAACCAAGATATCATCCAACATTATTACACTTCTAACCAATTACCAAAAGCAGCAAGAGGAAGTTATATTCTGGAGAAAATGGGAATGCAAAGTTTCAGAAGGAAAAAACTGAGAAGGATTAAAATTCCTCCTTGACTCTGTTTTTCCTTTCAACACACCTCCTTGAATTTCTGTTTTTTCTTTCTTTCATCCTAACTATGTTTTGCTTAGTTTGGTTGTTTGATTAGGACATGAGCTCCAGGTTGGTGTTACTCAGTGTGTTTTCCTCCTGAGGTTTACATTGTAGCAAGGAATATGCCCAATCAAAGTCCCAAACATCTAATTTTCTACGATCAAAACCAAGTGCAGCAAGAGGGAGATATAGACTGAAGGTCGCTGCAGTGATTTGAGCAGTTCAAAGCCAGCAGTAAACCTAATGTACTGCCCAAACAAAGTCACAAACTAGAGATCATCTAATTACCACACTCACAGGAGTGCCAAGTGCAGTAAGACAGATTCATACAATTCCTTGTCAATTTGACTCAGGCAAATACATTTATCGAATTTAACTATATTGTTAGGTATAGTTGTTTGATTAGGCCTAGTTCTATTATTCTCTTCTTGTAAGGGGAGAGTCTCCCTTATTTATGTATTATTAGTAACTTTGTATTAGAGAGGAGTCCTCTCTAGGTGCTTAGTTTAATATTACATCTTATTGTATAGGGTTGAGTCGACTAACCTTAGGAGGTAGGTTGATTCTTGACCCACCTTAGGATTGGAGGTAAGGTATATGTCCCCCTCCTTGTATATTTTTGAATTTTATATATGATAAGGCCTGGGGTGTTGCTCAGCCCCTGACCCCCTCAAGGGTCGTTTTCAAAAAAAAAATAAAAAAAAATTTCATTTTCCCTCGAAAATTGCTTCCCTCACATTTTCCATTTTCTCTTTTTATTTACCATTCACTCCTTGCTAAAACCCAACAATCCCCACATGAATCGGGAATGGCTATTGTTAAAACATATGCATGAAAAATTTGTGTGTCTCGTAAGTAAGGGTTAATCGCATCTGGATAAGTAGGTTTCCCTTTAAACATTTCGTAGTGAACATATATCATATATACTCGGTCAATCGGTAGATTTGATATCTTTGAACCGTCGAGCTTTGGTGTATACCTAGACAACATAAGTCACACAATCAACCCTTGAACTGTTTTTGGTTCTCATTGTTTTGTTCGTTTCAGCAATGAACACATCTCGGTTAATAAGTGCTTAGAGAACTGGCCTTACCGGATTCTCCTTGAAGCGGCTTACAGTTCACACTTACATAGGTGGTTTCTAACTGTGTTATCCCGTAGATACACTATTTGATATACCCTGTATCAAACTTAGAAACCATTAAAAAGTCCTTATGCCTTTATCCTGGTTACTGAACATTGTCTCATCATGAGAATGGACATAAAATAAATTTTGACAATGTTGAACCGTCATTTATGACTTTGTTTTATCTCCTTGAACCTAGATCTTGGGATCTCCAGTCTTCTAGGTAGAGTTACCGTCACGATGACTTGTTCTCGGCCATAGTCCCATTCCCGTCGATGATCTCTCAACTCCCTCTCTAGTTAGGCCCTTTGTAAATGGATCGCTAGAGAGTAACTGTCTAACATAGTTGTGTCTTCGTCGTATATGACAAGACTTTTCGTTATACATAACGTTTCCAACCCTTCCTATTGCAGCTTGACTATCGCAGTGTATGCATATAGGGGCCATTGGTTTGGGCCAAAACGGAATATCTTCTAAGAAATTCCAGAGCCATTCAGCTTCTTCACCTGCCTTGTCTAAGGCAATGAATTCAGACTCCATTGTAGAGCGAGCTATACATGTTTGTTTGGATGATTTCTAAGATATTGCTCCTCCACCAATAGTGAAAACATATCCACTCGTGTATTTCGTTTCAGTTGACCCCGTAATCTAATTTGCATCACTATATCCTTCAACAACTACTGGATATTTGTTGTAATGCAAATCATAGTTTTGAGTGTCATCTAAGTACCCCAAAACTCTCTTCATTGCCATCCAATGATTTTGATTGGTATTACTTGTGTATCGACTCAATTTACTTATAGCGCAGGCTATGTCTGGTCGTGTATAGTTCATAACATACATCAAACTTCCCAATACTCTGGCATAATCCAATTGAGACTGACTTTCACCTTTATTCTTAGCAAGATTAAGGTTCACATCAATTGGGGTCTTTGCCCTTTTGAAATTCAAGTACTTGAACTTTTCAAGTATCTTTCAAATATAATGAGATTAAGACAATGCTATACCGTTAGGAGTTTTATGAATCTTAATTCCCAATATCAAATCGGCAACTCCTAGATCTTTCATATCAAACTTACTAGCGAGCATACGCTTAGTAGCTTTTACATTAGCAATGTCCTTGCTCATTATCAACATGTCATCCACATATAGGCATACAAATGACTTCCTGATTTGGAATGTCTTTAATGTAGACACAATTATCACATTCATTGATCTTATATCCATTTGCCAACGTGGTTTGATCAAACTTTAAATGTCATTGTTTCAGTGCTTGTTTCAGTCCATAAAGTGACTTAACAAGTTTGCATACTTCCTTTTCTTTACCGGGAACTATGAAACCCTCAGGTTGTTCCATGTAAATCTCTTCTTCCAGCTCGACATTTAAGAAGGCGGTTTCACATTCATTTGATGGATTTCAAGATCGCATACTGCAACTAGGGCAATTAACATTCGAATTGATGTAATCCTAGTCACTAGCGAGTATTTGTCAAAATAACCAAGACCTTCTTTCTATATGAAGCCTTTGACAACAAGTGTTGCTTTATATTTGTCAATAGTTCCATCATCTTTCATCTTCCTTTTGAAAATCCATTTCGAACCTAAGGGTTTGTTCCCTGGAGGAAGATCAACCAACTCCCAGGTATGATTGCTTAAGATTGATTCAATCTCACTATTGACCGCCTCCTTTTAAGAGGTTGAGTCGCTAGACAACATAGCTTCCTTGAATGTTTGAGGCTTACTTTCAAGAAGGAATGTTACAAAATCAGATCCAAATGAAGTAGCTATCCTTTGACGTTTGCTGCGCCTTGGACTCTCTTCATTAGGTTCATTCTCTTTTGGTTCTTCTTGAGGTCATTTAGACCCCCCACTAGATGACTCAAGTCTAGTCTTGTACGAATAGATATGTTCAAAGAATTCAGCATTATCTGATTCCATTACCATATTGTCATGAATATTTGGATATTCGGACTTATGAACCAAAAATCGACATGCCTTACTATTTGTGGCATATCCAATGAATACACAATCCATGTCTTAGGTTCTATTTTCACCCTCTTAGGTATAGGAACCTGGACTTTGGCTAGACACCCCCACACTTTGAAATATTTCAAGTTGGGTTTTCTACCTTTCCATTTCTCATATGGAATAACATGTGTCTTGCTATGAGGCACTCTATTGAGTATTTTGATTTGCTGTAAGGATAGCTTTTCCCCCCACAAGTTTTTGTGGTAAACCTAAACTTATAAGTAAGACATTCATCATTTCCTTTAAAGTTTGGTTTTTCCTTTCCGCAATTCCATTTAGATTTGAGGAGTAGTAAGGAGCAGTAGTTTGATGGATAATTTCATTTTCCAAACATATTTCTGCAAATAGGGATTCATATTCTCCACCTCATCACTTCTGATCATTTTGATCTTTTTATCCAACTGATTTTCAACTTCAGTTTTATATTGCCTAAATGCATCTATTGCTTCATCTTTACCATTTAGCAAATAGACATAACAATATCTAGTGCAATCGTCAATAAAAGTTATGAAATACTTTTTCCCACCACGTGATGGTGTTGACTTCATGTCAGTGCAAATCAGTTCTAAGGGATATGAATGCCTTTCAACAGATTTATAAGGATGCTTAGCATACTTAGATTCAACGCAAACTTGACATTTTGATTTATTGCACTCAAATTTAGGCAAAACATTTAAGTTAATCAATTTTTGCAAGGTTTTGTTATTAATGTGTCCCAAATGTTCATGCCATAAACATTTAGAATCAAACAAGTAAGAAGAAGCAGAATCTTTATTCATATCAACTGCAATTACATTTGAGTTTGAAGAGGCCCTCAGTGAGGTAGCCTTTTCCTACATACATCTCATTCTTAGTTACTATAACTTTATCAGAAACAAATACACATTTGAATCCATTCTTGGTAAGAACTGGTATAGAAACTAAGTTCTTTTGCAATTCTAGAACATACAAGACCCTGTTCAAAGTCATCACCTTGCCCGATGCCATCTTCAAGTGGACCTTGCCAGTTCCTTCAACCTTTGCAGCAGCGGAGTTCGCCATAAATAACTTCTCGTCTGCTGGTGCTAGAGTATATGATGTAAATAATTCTTTGTTGGCACAAACATGTCATGAGGTACCATAATCTATCCATCATTCTCTAGGATTTCCAACCAAGTTGCATTCTGAAAGCATTGCACAAAGATCGTCCATCTCTCCTTTGGATTCAGCCAAATTTGCTTGATCCTTCTTCTTGTCCTTCTTGGGACCCCTACATTTTGCACAAAGATCGTCTATCTCTCCTTTGGATTCAGCCAAATTTGCTTGATCCTTCTTCTTGTCCTTCCTGGGACCCCGATATTCAGTAGCCCTATAACCACGTTTGTCACAATTGAAGCAGTTTTCATTGAATTTCTTCTTAGGAGGATTGCTCTTTGGACCAGATGCTTTCCTTCTTTTCTTTGATTTTGTGGGATCTTCTTCAACAATATTTAATCTTGATATTGCTGAATTACCACGTGACCTCTTTTCTGCGGCCTTGTTATCCTCTTTGATTCTCAGCTTTACCATGAGATCTTCAATAGTCATCTCCTTGCGTTTATGTTTCAAGTAGTTTTTGAAGTCCTTCCACAACGGAGGTAACTTCTCAATAATTGCCGCCACTTGAAAAGCATCATTCACAATCAATCCTACATTAAAGATTATGTGGGTATTAATAATAGACTTAATATGTTCAACATAGGCATTAAATAAATTTATACCTTTCGCAAGGAGATCATAGATTATGACCTGCAATTCTTGAACTTGGGTGACGACGGTCTTACTGTCTATCATCTTATAGTCCAAAAACTTTGCCACAATGAACTTCTTCATTCCGACATCCTCTATTTTGTACTTTTTTTCTAAAGCATCCCAGAGTTCTTTTGAAGTCTTGACATTAATGTACACATTGTACAGATCATCTTGCAGGCCACTTAGAATATAGTTTTTACACAAAAAATCTGAATGTGTCCATGCTTCTGTCACCAAGAATCGTTCTTCGGCCGGAGCTTCATCCGACATAACAGGAACGTTCTCATTAATGAACCTTTGCAGACTCAACGTAGTCAGATAGAAAAATATCTTCTGCTTCCATTTCTTAAAGTCGACTCTAGAAAACTTTGCAGGTTTCTCAGTCGGGGCAAGGGCAGCAGTTGAACGATTGTGTGCAACCAATGTTGTTGCACTACTCACTGTTTCAACATTTACTTGACTTGAATTTGTCATTTTTCTGTCACAAATGGCAGACAATTTTAATATGTGAAATGCTAACAGTAAAGAATAAATCCTTACACAGTCTGTTTCTGATTTAACGATAATGTTTTTATGTTCTTTTAATCGTTAATCGAATGAATTTTAAAAATTCAAACAGATTAGAAACCATAAAGGTTTTAATCTCCAGAAACCTCAAATACAGAAACTAATAAATTTCTTATGCTTGTTATCTCCTGTATTAAGGTTAGCAAAACAGAAACAGAAAAAGAGGAAACAAACAGAATATAAATAATTCGAGTCCACAGAACCAACTGTGTTTTCTTAAGAAATTTAATCCCTCAAGTACCCGAGGTTGTAGATTAATTCCTCCCAAGATAAAACAGATTAAC